GTTTCTGAGGCTGTAAATCTTTAGGGGAGCAGAAAGCCTCATCTTTCTCCCACGGAGCAGCTGATAGTTTCGAACTGCTTCTGGTGATGTGTGTGAACATGGAAAGAGATGTTTGAAATTAAGTTAACATGTTTGAACATGTTACTTTTCTGAGAAATGTATGATTTATATGAGGAACCAAGTTTCAGGGTGTCTCAAGTTTTCTATAAAGGCAATATATGTTATTGAAGAAAGTTTTATGTTTAATTAGAATGAATTAAGTTTGACTGAAGGAAAAACAATCCTTATATTTTGCAGAATTTGCTAAATAAATGCATAACGCCAAACTGATTCCAATCCCTACGTCTAATTTACATGGGAAGGAATGAAACAAAGTTAAATAAATCTGTAAACATTTCAAACATATACAAGTAGAGTTCAAAAAGATTGTGGAAAAATGCTGTTATCTCAGTTCTATTTTTTTTTCCCACAGTCCTTTTGAAGCCCCCTTGCATATATTTGAAATGCTTACTGATTTATTTAATTTCTCATGTTTCATTCCTTCCTTTATAAACTAAAATTAAGGATTGGAATTAGTTTAGCATAAACCCCTCATTTAACAAGTACTATAAAACAGGAGATCTTTTTCCTCTAGTCAGACTTAATTCATTTTACACCTAAATCTTTCTTCAAATAATATATATTACCTATATAGAAAGCTTGAGAGACCCTGAAGCTTGACTATTCATATAAATCATATATTTCTAATAGAAATACCATTTTCCAGCATGTTACCTTAATTTTGGACATCTATTTCTATGCTCACACACATCACTAGCAATAGCATTTTCAGGATCTACTACTGTCTTTTGTGCATTCATTAGTACGTACATATGTCTATTTAGAGTCATTAATAGAATATTGAAATTTCAAATAGTAATTTGAAATCTCAAATAGTGACGTAAATTGGTTTCAATAGCCTTAAAGCAGGTTCAGCTTTCATATTCAAAAAGAGATCTAATAAACAATATATATTTAAATATATATATTTAGTGGTCTATAGATCAGGAAGAAAGACCAGGCAACCTACTTCCAAAAACTGAGCCATTGAAAACTCTAGGAAGCATAGTTTTACTCTGACAGTCATGGGGTTTTCATGAGTAGGATTTGACTCCACAAAAACTGTTTTTGGTTTTTGTTTTGTTTTGTTTTGCAAAAGTGAGATTTTCTTTATTTGATTTGCAAAATCGGATGCCTACTTCAGTAGACTCAGGCAGATATGCCATATGGCCCACCATAAAAAAATTTTTAACCTTTTTTTGTGAATTATATAATAGTTTATATGGGAGAACATTAACTTTACATTCATCCTATTGTACATCATTTCATTGCCATGGTTACAATCCCCTCCATGCACCATCAACCAACCAAAGGGTATACCTTGCAAGCTTGCCCCTCTGGTCCTCAGCACACAGCCCCTCTCCCTCTCTGGGTCTAGAGTCCCCAGCTGCTCAATCTCTTCACCTCATTGTCTCTGCCTCCATCTCTGGCATCACGTTTTCTCTGGGTACTGTCCTGCTCTCCTCTCGTCTCCCTTGATGTTCTAAGGGACCTCCGCTCCTGGACTGCAAAGTCAATCACTCCCCTCGTTTTGCTACATAATGTCTACTTTTACATTTCCAACAGTGACAGTCAGTCCCGATAACAATTATTCACTATTGTACCACAAGAGACCTATCCCCATCTCCTTTCATTAGCCCTGGTCAGACAGATTGGATACTATTCAGTGGAGATTCTACCTTCCTCCGTACCCTCTGGATCTAGGCTCCCTCTTGAAAGCTTGCAAGCCAGTCACTTTTTGCCTTTGTAGTCCACCACCACCACCACCCCCCGCCCCATTTTGGGTAGCCAATGTCCAAGTTGCCCATCCCTGTCTACTCTGTGTATGGAGGGGGTGGGAATGATCCTCACTGTAAAGATTTGTTCCTTCTTTTGAGCTACTGCATCCATAGGTGTAGGTCAAGTTCATCAAATTGTATCAGATTACTCTTTTTTTTCCTTTTCTTTCTTCTTCTAGTTGAGCTCTGATCATCCAGTCATTGAAGCCAGGTAAACAATATATTCTTTAAGGTACTTCCATCTCTTCTGTATCTCTATAGATGCTGAATAGATTTGATTTGCATTAATCTAAAAAATATTTTTCCTTCATGCAATGGATTCTCACTGTGTTCCAGTTGTAAAATTTTTAAACAATTCAAAGTCAATATTTATGTAAGGATTTTCTATTGTCAAATTTGGAAATGAAAAATATCAATGCATGTTTTTTCTAACATGGTCACCTGTGCATCCAGAAGTTCTCCCTGCTTGTTGCCTCTCCACATGTTGGAAAGTGTCTTATAAGGGGTGCTTCGTTGAAGCAAAGAAAATGCTCAAAAGATATTTCTAACTGTAGACAATGAATTGCTAATAAGAGTGTACATCCCTTAGGCCCCCATTACTTGACAGCTCAGTGCTTCAGCAGTTGAATGATTGCAAAGTTGTTTCTGAGTTAAAGTTGGTTCTCAAATACATGTTAACAGCACACACAGGGATAGCTGAGTTACTTTACTTCCAGTGATGTCATCAGATGAAAATAGAAGTTTAGTTTACAAAATGACGAAAATGTCAGGGATATCTAATTTACATATGTGGAGCTCTGATAGCATAATGATTATGAGTCGGACTGCTAACCTCAAGGTCAGCGGTTAGAAACAACCAGCTGTTCCTCGGGAGAAAGATAAGACTTTCTGCTCCAGTAAAGGTTTACAGCCTCAAAAACCCTATACAGGGTCACTATGAGTCCGAACTGACTCCACATTACACTACCACCACCACCACCAGTAAATATTGAGGAAAAAATTTCTTGTAAGAACGAACTACGTCCCAAGATATACAATTTCCTTGATTAAAAAATAATGAATCACATCACATAGAAGATAGTCTGAAATACTAGAACAGATATTGCAACAGACATATTTAGTCTTATTTTTTCAAAAATTAGGCAAACCCTAAACAAAACAAACAAACAAACAAAAAATCAACCAAGCAAAGTCTTACCTTATTATCAAAGTTACCTGTCTTTTAGCAATAAAGTGAACCAGGGATAAAATAATATCAGATTAAGAGAAACTAATGCAAATGCTAGGGCTCATGATATGGTGCTGTAAGATAGGCACTGGACTTCAAAGCTCAATATCAGCAATTCAAACCTACCAGCTACTCCTTGGAAACCCTATACAGAGTCACTTTGAGTCTGATACAACTCAATGGCAATTTAACAACACTAACAACAATGAAAATGCTACGTTGTGACTAGCATTCTATTTATATGGTAAAATACATTGATTGTTTTCTAATATTGAATCATCCTTGCATAGCTGATATGAATCCTACTTGGTCATAATATATTATATTTAGATGTGTTGTTGAATTCTGTTGGCTAGGATGTTGTTGAAAACGTTTCCATCTATGTTCATGAGGGATATTGGTCTATAATTTTCTTTCTTAGTAATGGCCTTCCCTGGTTTTGGTACTAGGGTCATGCTTGCTTCATAAAATGTATTAGGAAATATTCTATCCTTTTCTATATTCTGGAATAATTTGAGTAAAATTGTTGACAGCTTTTCCTTAAATGTTTGGTAAAACTCATGATTGAAGCCATCTGGACCTGGACTTTTTTGCTTGGGAGTTTTCTGATGACTCGATCAATTTCTTCCTTTGTTATAGGTTTGTTCAAGTTTTCTACTTCACTCTGTTTAAGTATAGGTAGTTCATGCTTTTCTAAAAATGTATCTATCTCCTCTAGATTTTCAAATTTGTTGGAGTACAACTCTTTATAGTATTCCTTTATTATCTTTTTTATTTCTGTTGATTCTGACGTAACATTACCCATGTAGTTTCTTATTTGTGTTATTTGTGTCTTTTCTCTCTTTTCTTTTGTAGCTTTGTTAATGGTTTGTAAATTTTGTTAATCCTTTCAAAGACCCAGCTTCTTGCCAT